CTTGATCGTTGCCACCTTACCAGAAGTCTAATCTTCGCACTGTTAGACCATGGGAATCTCTATTATTATTCCATAAATGCACCATTGACTTTTCCTTGCTCAGCTTCCGGTAAAACGATACTCCGAAGCAAAAAAAGCTTAATACAACGACTCTATCCAGGCCAGACCTCCTGATATCAACAAATATACACCCCCCCCCCCACCCCCAAAAAAAAGAGCAGACGTCACTTGACTCAACCCATCCCTTCGTTAAGAAAAACTACGCACTCAGTTCACTGGACAAAACGCGCTCGTGAATATACCAAACTATAGCCGTTCATCCTACAAGCAATCTCAGTTTCAGCAGGCGTGGCCACGTTTTCAGTTGCTGTAAGATTAATTCGACACCTGCAACAGACACTGTAAATTAAGTAGGAGCCACAACGCCCTTCTTTGAAACCGTCAGGACGAGAAAGTTTATAGAAGACTTAACAGGTGTGCGCGGCGGTTTCCTTTTCTTCCTTCCCTCCCATTGTAGCACTCAAATTCTGACCCTGATATCAATTCTAATAGTAATCAAACGTTCCTGAGCCGATAGGCACAAGGATACCAGTTTCTTGCAAAATATGCTGTGACATCCGTTTGCTCATCCCCCTTTCTGCCTTCGGCCGCTGATTAGGTTTGGTTCTGTGCTTTGAAATAACTTTAGGAACGAAACATGATACGTGAGGGGAGTGTCCGGCTAAGGGCAAGTGACTCTCGGTGGTGAAGACATATACTGAGCTTGTCAGTATTTCTGTACCACGTCTCGAAAATAGAACAAGCCAAAGAAAAATAAGACGCCTTTCTTTCCCCAGCCCCCGCAGGTTTTTCGCATTACTTTTTACTGCACAACTGATTCTACCTTTTCGAGCCGGAGCGAACATGGACGCCCTTGGGGTTAAGTTTCCACTTCATTTTCGGCACCTGACTAAACGCAAGCGCTGACTTGTGCGCCTATGCTTCGTTTGCACTAAAGTAGCAGTATATGACCACGACAGACTTGCTGCTATCCTTGGTTTGAAAACGCAATGGGCAAGAACAATTTCTTGAAAAGAGCAAACTATTTCCTCCTTACCAGACATGGAAAACAACTACTAGGACTTAAGCAAAGCCATTGTTTAAGTCCTACTCGACTTGAAAAGAGAAAGCATGATGCTTTCTCTTTTTAATGATTTACGGCTAAACAGTACAATTTCATGTAGCTTTTACGCAAAATTAAATACTTAGTTGTTTGCAGAATTGCATTTAACAACAAATTACAGAAATTTAACTAAGTTTAGATCTCATAGATAAGAATTGAACGGAAAAAACGTTTGGGGTAAAAAAGTCAAAAAATAATGTTTGCTGGAAAATCACTTAATGGACATACAATAGCAGAGATATCATGCCTGTAATTTTCTGTTCAATGCACCTTATGACAAGTCTGACTAATCCACTGGTAACCCATGCCTTAAAACCGCCTTGAACCTTAAAATTTAATCCATTTGCCTTTCATGCGTAGTGCAAATATATCTTCTGAACACTCCGGGGTTGGGGGTAAAATCAGAAGAACAGAACATTCAGTTACTGTACCGTTTTTGAAAGTGGGACAGTATGTTTGCTAATCATCTTAGTTAACCGCTTTTAAAATAGGACAAAAGGACACCTGGTCATACAGGAAAATGAATTTACTGTATCCCGAAAGCTTTGGTTTCCCGTGCACTTATTTTTCGCAGGAGACAATCGATAATTGCCTGGTCACGCAATCGGAGGTGAGTAACTAATTTTAAAAAAGTCATTGATACCGTCGCCGCTTAGCAAATACACTACGTGCTGCAAAGGATCCAAATTGCGCTAGAAATGTTTTCCTATTCGGCCCACTTTTTATCTCAGGTAAGGCACTGCAAAGCTGATTCATTTACGAAGGTTCGAGCGAGAATTATTTCATTTTATTTCATGATTTCGCAGTCACGGGAAAACAGACCTGGACTCAGGTCCACTCGCAGACGCCATGGTACAATCTACGAGATCTCAAGAACAGAAATTACTTATTGAACGGCCTCTCCTTTTAAAGATTGCGAGTATTTCATTAAAACAGGTACATATTAAAAGAATCTTGTTAGTTTCTCCCTTTTAACGAGCTCAAATCGACGCATAAAACTAAGGTGACGTGCACGTGTCATGACCCTGGGGTCAATTAGCGGTTGTTTGGGGCAAAATAACCTAAAAATAATCAGTCTATTTTACAAGCGTTCGCAAAAACGCCAGACTAACTTTCAGATAATGTTGAAGTACTATATCTCATTGGGTAGTACGCGGGATTTGGGGTGATTTGGAGAATTCCCCCATATAGAAAATTCGATTTTGGTTTTAGCGGTAAATTGTTGTATTTATAAGCATTATGCAGATTACGTTTCAAAATTCTGCTGGTTCGTCGATATTTTATACTCTAAATCTAAAAAAGTGTGCTGTTTAGAAATTGTTAATATCTGTTTTTTGAGATTTAAGTGGAAGATTGCCAATATATTCGTTCGTTTATGAAAGTCAGCTCATTTCTGCCGCTAGGCTATATTGCCGTGTTTGGCGGCTAATTTTAGGCCCGCAGACCCTTGAAATCGAAAATCTCAAATAATTCCCAAATTCGGCCGCATTTTGAAATTTAAACCTCAGCAGTGTTATAAATTCATTAAAACCTTATTACAGACTTAAAATGAGGGTAGGTTAGGTTTTGAGCTGTGGCCACGGTTTGCTCAATTATTCTGTGCATTCGCTCCTAATACGAGTCTGTACGTATTTACGTGTACATAACCTGAAATCCGGAGATGGACACCATTGGGGGTGGGTTGGGGCTAGGATTTGCTTACTAATCATGGCCAATATTTTTCATAATTGGCAGAGAATGCGACTGCAGCTGGCCAAAACCCGTACACATCAAACGGTCATTCCAGCACAGGGCAAGCCTCAAACAGCAACTGCTCACGCATCAGTCAGCTCTGTCAAAACATCGGCTATAAGTTTACTCAGATGCCCAACTACTTCAAACAGCAAAATTACGATGACGCTGAATACGAGCTTTCTCAATTCACACCCATGATCCAATCAAACTGTTCATCAGTTCTGCAACTGTTCCTCTGTTCCTTGTATTTTCCTCCATGCGCGCCTAGACCACAAACTACGCCCCCATACCGTTCTGTCTGCAGGGCAGTTAAAGAGAACTGCAAGCCGTGGTTGAAGAAGTCTGGACTCAAGTGGCCCTATAAGTTTGAATGCAACACCTTGCCAGATCCCCATGAAAAAGCATGTGTAAGAAGGGATGGTGCAGTAATTAAAGGTAAGAACTATTCATGATGTTTTATAATATTTGTAGCTCATATGAATCTACAATCATGGACAAAAGTCCTGGGACACTTTTGCTGTTCTGGGGCGTTTTCCAATTCACACAGGTCCAGCCTCTCTCCTCACCCCACAAAAAATGTTGGACGCGTGTATCCAGATTTTTTTTCCGAGTTTCAATTTTTTATAGGGTGGGGTGAGGGAGAACTGCAAGAAAATTTCGAAAAGGATGCACTGTTTTAAGAGGGAACCGAGAAACGACAGAAAAATATGAATATTGGAGTAGTGTCACAAGGACTTTTGTCCAGGATTGTAGTTTATGTCGCAACTTTTAAAAATACTTATGCCCTTTTTTTTATGATTGACGCCACCTTTGTTTGGGACGGAAGGATGACCAGGACCAGGAAATAAGGACGTCAACCGGAAGTAAGGCCTTCTCCCTTTTTATATACCTTGATTCTAACAAATGTGTATTGCTAAGTTTCTTTTCTCTTATGAAGACGATTTACCTGAGAGTTTGAACCAAACCATTGACCAATGATACAAAAAGTCCACTTCCGGTTGACACCCGTCGAATTTTGACCTTTTAATGAAGTTTATTATTCCTTTTTCTTACTTATACTTCGAAAGTGTTTATAGACAGAACCAGACTGAGACGGAGCCGAGCTTCCATTTTCACGGGGAAAGTGTTGTCAAATGTATCTATAAATAAACGGGTCCATGAAAACACCTCGATATAGGCACGGTATGAGAGTTGCACACTTCGAGTTATTATGGACTCGTGATATACCTAAGTAACCTCAAAGCCCGAGATGAATGATAATTACATGGGCAAACCGGTCGGTCCACGGTTTGGGCAAATGGTATGAAAAAATTCAGGAGTGGTAAATTTTTGTCCCAGAGTCGCATTTACCATTTGTATAAATCACTTACATTTACCAAAAAACGACCGAAGGGCCTGAAACTGGTATCAACGATGATTTTGAAGAAATTGAACACAATTTCCCTTTGGAATACTCCGTCCAGAAAAACAGGACTACCTTTTAAGATGTTCTGTTGCTCCCTGAAATTTTCTGCAGGAACGAATGTAAGTCGCGTTCCATTTACTTTTCAAACGTATTTTCCGGAAACGTTTTGTAAATAGTAAGCAACCTATCTATTGTTTGATTTTTCCTCAAAACTGGAACACTTTTTTACTTAGTTTTAACTGTAATATGTCCGTAGTGCCACCACATTGCCAACCACTCAACTCCACAATGTGCAAAAACCTTAACTACATTTACGTCGAAATGCCAAATTTCTGGGGAGACAATACACAAGAAGAAGCCGACGCAAGAATCCAAGTGTTCTCTCCACTGGTGAATTTCGGCTGTTCTCCATCACTGCGAGTTTTTCTGTGTTTGTTGTACTTTCCACCGTGCGTTGTAAATTTTAGAAAGATGATCCCTCCATGCCGAGAGTTATGCGAGGACGCGAGACGTGGTTGTAAGCCAGCGTTGGAGGGGGCTGGCTTTCCTTGGCCTGGGATAATGAAGTGTTCTCAGTTTCCTTTCTATGGTAAAAACGAATCAAACGTTTGTTTAAAACCAGAGACGCAAACAACAAAGGGTAAGAAATCTTTGTTTTTATTATCACATTATTATTATTATTATTATTATTAGTTGTAGTTGTAGTAGTAGTAGTAGTAGTAGTATCACTAACATCATCGGTATTGGTATCGGTGAAAATGGTCAATACCAGTTTCTCTTGAAAAAGATGATTTTGCAGTCAGTGAAACAGGCTGCTCGGAAGGAAAAATCCGCGTACTAGAAATAGGAGTCGAACATATGACCTACCAATGAGCCACAGGAGACTTCTGGGAGCTAGCGCCACTAAATTAACTAAGTTCTTGTGACAAACATGCTGCATACGGACTAGAATGTCCATATGTGCTCATGCGCAATGATAAACTTATTTTTCTTATTTCCAATTCAGTGCCAAACGTTACACAGTCAAGGTCGCAATGCCAGGCATTGAAGATACCGATGTGCCGAAGCTTGAACTACACCCACACGATTCTACCAAATTTCATGAACCACACAACCCAAGCGGAAGTGAAGCGGGCCTTAAAAGCTTTCAGACCACTGCTCAAATCTAAATGTTCCAATCAACTCAGGAGGTTTGTTTGCTTCCTGTTCGCCCCTTTCTGTGGTACAGACGGAACCCCGCTGGCGCTTCCACCCTGTCAATCATTCTGCGAGAAGATAAAGTTGGATTGTGGTCGAGTATCTCGGTGGCTGGCTAATTTAAACTGCAGCAGATTTCCTTCGTTGTCTCGCAAGCGCCTTTGTTTTGCTGACCCGCTGGCCACAATGGATTGTATTGGACGTAACAGCAGACCCTGCACAGGTGAGCTTTGTTAAATCTCTGGGGTCGACACTAAGAATTAGTCCTAGAGATGTGCCCGCTTTACTGAGAGACAATTAAAACACAACCAGTCGATGGTAGCAATGACGACGTCGACATCGACGATGACAAAGTCGGTAACGTAGCAGGCGGTACTAATTTCTCACTAAACTGACCAATCACAGACCCCTTTAAATGATTATGGCAACAATATCAGATGCAATACATATCTTCAGACCGGCTGGAGCGGATCCAGAAAAATTCAGAAATGGGTGGCCAGGACACTTGCCATATGGATATTACATATTTTACTGAGAATTCTTTAAAAATAGTACTAGGAAATTTCATAGACCAAAGGAGAGAGTGGCGTGGTCCCCTCGACCAACTTCAAAATCCATCTCAATGTAACTTTATTTTTATCCCATGTATGGTAATCCAAGACAGTCTTGGATTGTGGATTCCACGAGCGCTGTGGATTCCGGATTCAACTACTGTATTCTATATTTATTGTCCGTAGAACTTGGATTCCGGATTACCGCGTTCACGGGATTCCGGATTTGTTAAGCTGAATTCCGGAATTCAGAATTTCGAAGCCAGCCAAGTATTTTGGATTCCATAAGCACTGAAAAATTTCCCAGGTTCCGGAATCCACATGACATTAAATGGGGTGATATATTAGTGTATCTTTTTTTTTTCTACAGTGATTTCATCAACCTCTCCAATCATCTTAAAATGCTCCTCGCCAGGCATTCACTTCACAATTGATGCAGTAACCATTTCCCGCTACAACTGAACCAATATATTCATGTCTTCAACGGCCGATGCCCTTCGGCAGTGCAACAGAAGCTAGAGACTAGTCGAAGGGAGACACGAATGTCAGTTCGACGTAAACTATGATAAACTTGGAATCGATATACTTTCAGTGATCGCAGTTGTTGTAAAATACCATTGTCTTTCGGAGTGATTACGAAAAGCACAGCGTTAAATGACAAATTTGTGTTTGCAGCTACTGTATTGATGCTGTGGCAAAGCTTTGATAGATCGATTACGCAAGCGAAATTTGCCATTGTAAGCACAAGTTTCACAAGCTGCAGAAAGAAAAAGACTGCTACTTACATGAATAGTGCTGTTTGTTTTACAACCATGACGATGAGTCACATTTACTGTAGCAATTTAGAACAAGAACATGCACGTGAAATAGCAGAAACAGTATTTTCTTCAAGAAATTTTGGGGTCAAATTCAAAGAAAATGGAAGAATCACTCCTCGCATATATATAATAAGCCAGTTTGAGCGATCTATTGACGCGTGGCTGAGGCCGCACTTTACATAATTCCATAAAGCCGATCAAAAATAGTGTTTGGACCATGTTGCAAGCAGCAGGTACAATTAGAAGTTTGATGAATTACTTTAAGAGTGAGAATACGTTCTGATTTATAATCTAGAAGTATCTTATATTTTCACTTGACATTTCTTCTGAATTAAAGACCATCACACATGTAAATGTGATTAAAATGTTCACTATGCAGTAAAAACTGTTTTTTCTTTTTCCTTACTCCCGGCTATTTTCTTCGAGCTCCGGATAACTCGAACTCCCGATAACTCGAACTTTTTTCGATTTCCCTTGAAGGTTCGAGTTATCGGGAGTCGACTGTACTTAATATATTTCATTACTTAATGTATGCAATACATTGCTTGAAGCTAATACTTATAACAAAATCATGTCCAAAAATGTGGTTCGTGGAACACTCGTTTCATTCCTATTTCTAAAGCTTTGATTACACTGTATAACGAACTGAAAATCCATGCTGTTTTTTGCTTGTAAACAAGGATCATCATGATAATAGACACATGAATAGAGACCTTTAGATTCTAAGACGAGTACGACTACGAGTACGAGATTTTCTCAGTACTAAGTAGTGCCCGCGCGTGAACCAGCGTCATTTTGGCGGGAAAACGTGGTAGCCGTCGTCATTCTACTACGAGTTTTAGCGAGAATGTCGAAGTGGCGGAAACAAGATATCAAATGTTAGAAGTTTTATTATTTTGCGATCGGGAGAGGGCGTAACCTCCTTCACTAAAGGTAACAGTGCTAGCTTTCTGGTGAAAAATGGTAAAATGAAGCTTTCCGGGGAGTCTATATTTTGAGAAGACGCGAAAAAACTTAAAGTCAAATCTCGTACTCGTAGTCGTCCTCGTCCTTGAATCTAAAGGTCTCTACTAAGAATTTTGAGCCGAAATGTAATTGTTTTTCAGTAAATAGAACTTCTGTGCTGGATCACGTGACAACAGGCTCGTCCTGGTGACGTTACATTGAGAGCAAACCGGTCACTGAGGGACCGCTGTCCAAATTTCGTCACATATACGCCTCGTTATGTCAGTTAGAGCTTAATGACTTTTCCCTGTCAACGGCCTCAAAAGGTACGGTAATTGGCCCTTAATAAAAGCGCTGATGTGTGTCACAGATATCGGCGTCACCCGCAACGTCACAACTGTGTGCGCAGTTACGTAGTGGCAGCAAAATCTTTGGATGACACTTTTCTGGAAAACTTTGCATGGCTCGCATAGCAATATGGGCACAGGAATAGGCTTTTGTATCCCACCTTAAAGCTCCATTTTTCAACTAAAATACTCTTGGGTCTCCATAGAAAAAGTTACTAAAATACTTGATAATGCTCATCATACAGAGACCTTTTCCGCATTAATTTCAAAGGTTAAAAAGGCGTATAAGTGGTGAAGCAACAACGTATACTAGTCAATGGTTTTCATAGACTAGCAGAAGATGAGACTTAAACGGGCTTTCCTAGTGTGACATTTGAGTTGCTCGAAAAAATTTCGAGTATAATGTACAAAAGCCTAGAAAAGAACGGAGCTCAATAGTGCTACGCAAGCTGAGCAAAAATTGGAATAAAAAACACTTTGTAACTGCGATAAAGGCGACTAGATAATTACAGACCATCATTACAAAGCTCCCGCTCCCTTGAGTCTCGCGTTATGAATAGGTTGTCTGGACATAATTTCATCCGACCAGCTAAGTAATTTTACTATCCCAGCAGTATTTCTTTAATATCAAAACATGGTAAGTTTTATTAAAACGAAAAAAAATATTTATTCCAACGAATTACAGTACCAAGTTATTAAATTCTGTTGAAATTCCTTTAGTAGAAAACGTTTTTTGAAAATATTATTTTGAGGAATTTGTTCTGAGTAGTTGGAGGGTTTCGCCTTTGACAAAGCCTTTTCTTGACCCCTGTTATTTGGGTGGCAAGATGAGAAGTGTGTATACTGAAATGTTTTAGTTGGCTTTGTACACAATCGTATCCAGGAATGAGATTTTGTTTTGGATGTTACTAAAACGGGGAACGGGGAGCGGGGAGCGGGGAGCGGGGAACGGGGAACGGAAGTCTGGGAACGAGTTGTCAGCGGAAACCTCCATAAAAATCCAATATGGCCGGTAAGGATCAAGAACCCGGTAAGATCGATGATAGAGAAGCGTCGAAACAACACTTAAGGTCGCTATTTTACTAATGAACTATATGCTCATGAGGTGCTTGAAATAATACGGAGGTAATAATGTCATGACATTTTTCACCTTTTTGCGTTTTACTAAACAACAAAATATGCTCCAACAGCAGTTGAAAGAAACTACAGTCGGGACAAAAACTCTCAAAGCACAGCCATATTTGGAACTCAAGCGAATCTATACTGGGTCTAACTCAAAAAGCAATGAACTACTTTTGCTTGACGCTTTTCGTAGGGTTTTGGCTTAAATACATGCTGAAAGATAACGTACTAGATCGAAGCAGCCAGGTGTATTTCCTCGACAGTAATAGTGTAGCAGTGGAGCTCCTTGCTAGCTGTAGCGTTTTTTCAAGCCCAAATTAAAACATGTTGGCGATGAGATAAAACTGTAAGTCTAATAATATTATATTTACAAACCTATGATGAGAAGTAAGTGCAATTGTATTATTTGAAAAGATAAGATGGATCAGGTTATTTAATACATCAATAAAAGGCAACTTTAAACATATTAACGGTCAATGTGCCAGGAACATCAATCATACCTTGGTCTTAAAGATGTCAGTTGTTTCAAAGCAAATGGCTATGCTGTGGTTTTATTTTATTATAACCTAGGTTTAAATTTTGCTTCCCTTTGTTTGGGGGTACGGTAATATGAATTTTATGATTATGAGTTCAAAACAAAGAGAATAAAATTCAAACTTAGGATAAAAGTGAACCACAACTGAGCTGCAATATTAAGTGTTGCAAGTATACGTGGGGGAAGTACTTTAAAGTCTTTGGTTGGAAGGTACTTTCTAAAGGCTAGCTGTTAAAATATGCATGGTAAGTATACTTCCTCTGTTTAGCCCTCTGGATGCTTTTTTTTTTCTAGGGGGACTCCTTTAATGTTTTTGCAGAGGGGAGCTCTGCTTCTCTTTAATGAACATTATTTTTACTGTGGAGAAAAATATTTCAAGCTCAGTGTAAAACTGAATGTATCAGTGACTTAAACCAGTTAATATTGTCAAGCTGCTTTATTAGCTTGATTCAGTAATATTGCAGTGCACCTACCATCAAGCATCACATCATCAATGTTGCAGAGGTTGGCAGCTTATTAGAAGGTGGTTGATAAGCCTTCAAGCACAGGAAAAAATAACGGATTTCCATTTTTGGATATTTTAGGGTATTATTTTAAAGAATACCCACAAAAATTCCAAATTTGGAAGAGTGAGACGAGTCCCAATCAGGGATCTTGGTTGGGAATTCCCTGGTTGGAACTTGTCTCACTTTGCCAAATTTGGGATTTTTATGGGTATTCTTTAAATACCCTAAAATATCCAAAAATGGGAATCCGTTATTTTTTCCTGTGAAGCAAGCTGTCTGTAGTTTTGGAAATAAAGAGTCTAAGGTCTCACACAAGTGATGGGAGGCAAAAGATTGGAGTGCCGATATGTTTTTCAGTAAACATGCACAACTGTATGTGTATAGTGGCCACATTACGCTTACTCAGTGCATGTAAAATAACACAATAGATCTTGCTACCCATTTTCCCTGATTTTATTTCCCCTCCAGGGGACATAATTTCTTTTAACATATAGGGGTTTTCAAAAAAGGGGCAAGAAGCTTTTAAATGAATTTTAATTCATTTAATGAAGCACAGTATCAAAGAAATTAAAGAGAAGAATCAGACTAGAGTAACAGTAACCCAGAGGGGGGGGGGGGGTACTCACCAAAGAGGCTCTGCCCCAGGGACCAACCCTTTACCCTTTGTATGTACCATTTTAGACAGAAAAGGTACCCCTTTTGTATACCCTCTAGTGACAAATGGTACCCCTTTCACATACCTAATTTTGAATGCTGCATCCCTTTTTAACTGCTGTAAATACACCATCTTTACAATATGAATAAATAGCTAAAACAGGTTTTCTTGTCTCTCACATCCATAAAATGCATCTGTGACTGATCTCATTTTGGTCCCTTTCATATACTTCAACTATAAAAACCCCTTCCCTTTCATGTACCTGAAGCCTGAAAAAGGCTTCAGGCTCTGTTTAGGCCATTATAGTACCCCCTCCTCCTGCACCGAGAACAGTACTTGATACAACGATGTTGTATGGTATGAATTGCACCAAACGTTTCGTGCCCATGAAGAGGTACTTTGATTATTTTACGACATTTTTCTTCAAAAGGGAGGGGTTTGGGATCTCATTCTTAAGGGGGCGGGGGGTTAATTAAGGATCTGCAGTGAGTGAGAATGTTGCATTCAATGCAATCCAATGGTTTTGATTCAGGAAAGGGTCGTCAGGGGTATTTCGCAGAAAGACAAATGGCCACTGTACGACTTTGAAGCAGTTACTGATTAGGGTGAGGAAAATGAGTGAATTAGGTTCCATTACGGTCATTATACTGGTCTATACTGGCCAAACTGACCTGAAACAAATTGTTTTACAAAATAATAAAATGATATTATTTTATTTTCATGGATCAGTGAAACACTTCAATATCGTGAATGCTTGCAGTGTAGTAGATCTAATAATATTAAAAGCAGAACCAGATTGTTAAAGTAGTCTTACAGTAATTATGTGATGACGTGGTCAATAACATTTTTCAAAGCAGTCATCTCTATCAAAGGAAATAGAAGAAGTCTGCACACAAGCTACTTGACTACTTCGATGTATGTTATCTATCATGGAAAAGCAGTTCATTGCTTTGTGGGTTAGACTCAGTATAGATTCGCTTGAGTTCCAAATATGGCTGTACATGTGCTTTGAGACTTTTTGTCCCGATTGGCTTCTTTCAACTGCTGTTGGAGCATATTTTGTTTCCTACGGATAATTGTTTAGTAAAACGCAAAAAGGTGAAAAACGTCATGAAGTTATTACCTCCGTATTATTTCAATCACCTCATGAGCATATAGTTCAAGTAAAATAACGCCGTTATCGGTTAAGTTTGTTTCGACGGTTCTCTATCATCGATCATCGGCCATATTGGATTTTTATGGAGGTTTCCGCTGACAACTCGTTCCCAGACTTCCGTTCCCCGTTCCCCGCTCCCCGCTCCCCGTTCCCCGTTTTAGTAACATCCTTTTGTTTTCAGAGATTTCTGCTGTGAAGTTAATTGTAGCGAGATGACTATTTGCTTTTTTAAAAAGTGTGTTATCAATTGTTCTCTTCCGATATCCCAAAGAGAGAAGATGTCGTCTGATCTATATACTTTTTCCACCAGACTGGCTTTTTGTTTTAACTAAAGTAGAAACAGTTAAAACTGTTTCTAACCATAAAGATATTTGCAAAAGCAACAGCGACCTTTGTTCCCATTGCTTTCCCATGTGCCTGACGATAATTTTTTCCATGAAATTGGCATGAGTTTTCTTCTTGGAATAAGTGTTTAGGCCTGGGACTAAGGCGTTTACTTGTGGAAATGAATTATTGGCTATAACTTTGGCATAGATGATGGCGCTGAATCAAAATTTGGCACACATAAAGAACTCATTTTAAATGCCAAAATTTAATCGTAATTTTAAACTTCGGGTACATTCATTCCAAACGTAGAAAGTTAGGTATGTTTATCCTCTTTCAGGAATACCGGTTTCAGGGGCGGATCTAGGGGGAGGGTGCAGGGGGTGCGCACCCCTCCCCCCTTCCCGAGATGACCTGCGGTTTTCTAAAACAACAGGTATTCTGCAAAAAAATATATATATATGTGGTTTATTGGTGTTGAAGTAGAGCAAGAGACGAGTGCACCCCCTCCTAAAAAAATCCTGGATCCGCCCCTGGGATACACGGGGAAGAATTGTAGTATTGGTAAGCCGCACAACACTTTTATTGAATGAATACAGCAAAATTTTCACGGGAGATATCCGATTTCTTTTAAGAGTTAATGAGCAGGTACATAAATTTTCCACAGCGTGTGGAAATTTTGAAAATCCCCAACCACTCCCTGCTTATCTTATTTTAAAAAAAAGATGTCGACGATTGTGCTGATGGACCATGCGAAAATGGAGGAAGTTGTACAGATGCTGTGAATGATTATAACTGCAGCTGTGTCGCCGGATACACGGGGAAGAATTGTAGTCTTGGTAAGCCGCACAATACTTTTATTGAATAAATACAGCAAAATTTTCAAGGGAAATATCCGATTTCTTCTAAGAGTTAATGAGCAGATACATAAATTTTCCACAGCGTGTGGAATTTTTGAAAATCTCTAACCACTCCCGGTTTATCTTATTTAAAAAAAAAAAGATATCGACGATCGTGCTGATGGACCATGCGAAAATGGGGGAAATTGTACAGATGCTGTGAATGATTATAACTGCAGTTGTGCCGCTGGATACACGGGGAAGAATTGTAGTATTGGTAAGCCAATTGTGTTCAAGATTTTCACAAAGGCATAACATTGAACAGTTTACTATTCTGAAACTGAGAACGAATTCCATGCACTCTGCATTAGATTTCTCTTAAAAGTTAAAATACATAATGTGAAATACAGAATCCGCATATTTTCGTCATCATATACACATTCAATTGACAATTAATCACTTTCTCAATCTTTTTCTAAAGATATCGACGATTGTGCTGATGGACCATGCCAAAATCGAGGAAACTGCACATATGCTTTGAATGATTATAACTGCAGCTGTGTCGCTGGATACACGGGGAAGAATTGTAGTATTGGTAAGACGCACAACACTTTTATTGAATGAATACAGCAAAATTTTCAAGGGAAATACCCGATTTCTTTTAAGAGTTAATGAGCAGGTACATAAATTTTTCACAGCGTGTGGAAATTTTTAAAATCCCTAACCACTCCCTGTTTATCTTATTTAAAAAAAAGATATCGACGATTGTGCTGATGGACCATGCGAAAATGGAGGAAATAGTACAGATGCTGTGAATTATTATAACTGTAGCTGTGTAGCTGGATATACGGGAAGAATTGTAGTATTGGTAAGCCGCACAACACTTTAATTGAATGAATACAGCAAAATTTTCAAGGGAAATATCCGATTTCTTTTAAGAGTTAATGAGCTGGTATATGAATTTTCCACAACGTGTGGAAATTTGAAAATCCCTTACCACTCCCTGTTTATCTTATTTTAAAAAAAAGATATCGACGATTGTGCTGATGGACCATGCGAAAATGGAGGAAGTTGTACGGATGCTGTGAATGATTATAACTGCAGCTGTGTCGCTGGATACACGGGGAAGAATTGCAGTATTGGTAAGCCAATTCTCTTCAAGAATCATTTACAAAGGCATTGCATTGGACAGTTGACTATTCTCAATTAACGAATTCCAATAAAAAATTTGATTTCCCTAAAAAAATACAGTAAACGCAGAGACACATAATTTTATTTTTCTGAGCATGTACAAATTACTTGAAAATAATCACTTTTCGTTCTAAAGATATCGACGATTGTGCAGATGAACCATGCGAAAATGGCGGACGTTGCAGAGATGCCGTGAATGATTTTAACTGCAGCTGTGTCGCTGGGTACACTGGGAACAATTGTAGTATTGGTAAGCATGAGCACATAAATTCCTGGAGCAATATAAGAAAGAAGCCGTCATTTCTCAATAGCCCATTTTCTGCATGTTAATATTCAAAAAAGGGTGATTTGAGTGGTTCTCTTTTTTATAACGTCACCGAAACACTGAATTAAAGAGCTTTGAATAAGTTGCTTAACTTTATCTGTCCTCCTGCGCCATCACGGGTGCCACTGGGAGATGAAGCTTTAAAACAGCCGCAAGTCTGAAAACTGTGATGATGGGGTGGCTGTGTGCCCTCACGCTCTCTTTGACTTCCTATAATTCATATCCTTTGTGGACGTCCTCTTGCTTTATAACCTGACACTCCAGTTCTGTGTGCTTGCTTTCAGTGCTAGATGGCCAGGTGCCCGACAGCCTGCCAACCCAGACGTATTTCTCGTCGTCGCTATCTCCACCCGATTACCCGAAAGTTACTTCTCGGGTGGAGAGAAGCGACGACCGGAAATACGTCTACGTTCGCAGGCTAGGTGCCCGACTATTAACTCCTCTATCTCCATTTCTCTGACCTTCAGATTTCTGATCTTGTCTCACCCGATTTTAAAAAATCGTAAAAATCCCATTTCTCAGGTCGGTGATTTTACGCTCTAGCATTATCTTTTAAACTAAATCTTTTTCATCTCCTTTTCATTGAAGACATTGATGACTGTGCTGAAGAACCTTGCGAAAATGGCGGCTATTGCATTGACCGTGTGAATGGATATGTTTGCAGTTGTGATCCAAGCTACACTGGTAGTCACTGCGCTGTTGGTACGTATATTACATTCATGTTTGAAGGTTGATGATAAATTCGTATCTACCTTGAGGCTTCAAGAAAAATTTAGATTGGGAAGAAAACCCTTTAGCCGTTCCCACCAATCCAAATAGACTTGATGTTACCACCTCCTGGTTTCCTTTACCGTTCGCAATAAAAAGGCGTTTTCGAAGAAACGGTTTTCAGAGTAGAAAATTCTGTCCATGGTGAAATTATGGAAACGACGTTGTTCATCGTAAAACTGTGAAAGGTTTGAACCCAGGAGTCATTTCAAAAGTAGGTTGGGTTTGATCGTCCGGGTGAACGTGGTCCTGAATAGGACTGTTGTTGGTGACAGTGACTGACGTTTCGACAACCCTTGCGGTAGTCACCTTCAGAGTCAAAGTGAGTTGTATAACGTCAGTTGATGGTATTGTACTCTTGTTATTGATCTGATTGGTCAATTACGTCGCGATGTTATGGGTCGTCTGTCAGTTAAGCCGTGCTGTTATTGGCTATGAAGACTCGTAATCAGTAATTGGTGCGTTTCGATCCGTCTATTGTCACAGTTAAACAGTCGTCTATTGTTAGTCAAATTGTCAGTTCTCCAGTCGTTCATCGTCTCGGTTTCGGGGCAAAAATGAGTTTTCTAATAATACGTCCGGATTCGTGAGGACTGGAATTCAAAGATCACCAAGCCAGAAAGACATCTCTGTGGGTTCTTTCGGAATGTGACTGGAGGAGGAGAGAAACAATAAGCCCTGCTATTTTGCCAGCTAGACCTGTGTTGGAGACTTGGGACGCTACCCTGTAGACGCTTTTAGTCAACCTAAACCTCCCAGGTCTTTTCCTTTTGGCTTTCAATGGCAGATTTAAGGGCAGAGCCAGCATTCCTCAGGTTCATAGGCCAAAGATGAGCCCTCAGGACCTACGCACCGAGATACTCTGTTTCCATCTTGACTTTGCTTGAGCATACCATCTCTAGATCTTTTACCTCAAGGTCTAGGCCTGCCACTGATTTTCTAGATACCCAATTTACAACTGTAGCCTCAGCTTTTCATTGTACGACATTGCCTCTTTATCTTTTTACATTTATTTCCTTATCGTTAGCACTCAAAGACGACGGATGCCATGCCTTTTTCGAGGGAAAAGATTGCAATGAAGGTAATCCGAATATAATAATTGTTTTTGAAAGAATGAAAGATGTAAATTTTAAGCTCCGTTAACAAATGTGAAGATGAGAATTATATTTATTTGTACATATCGGCATATAGGACAGAAAACTGCGGCATCTCGAAGAAGAAAGTTAATAGCGATTGTTAATTGAACCTATGTAAAAACTCCCTGAAAAAAAAGAACATAAATTGATAAAACAGAACATATTGATTAAAATTAATTAAAAATTTCATTACCCATTCTAGCGCGGGTTATTGAATTGTACCATAGTTAAAACTATCCCAGTAAAAGTGAGTATTTAAAGCACATTCAGTTGGTCTGGTCGAGTCTGACAACTAAGTTGACAACTATGTTTTGTCGAATGTTGTAGCAAAACCCGTTTTGATTGCCCTCTGAGTGTTATTTGGTGTAGGGCTGTTACTTACCATATTGGCTCTGATCTCATACGTACTCTACAAGAAAAGAAGGGGAGGTAAGTTGTCTTAAAGATTATTTTGTTAAATTGTCTATTTGCCTCAATTTAACACTCCCTCCATGGACAGAAGAGAGCGAGGTTAGTGTGGATGCCAACTTGTCATGATCGACCCCTGAAAATTTAGTACATTACTGATTTCACCATTTTTATCGTTGTTTTGTTGTTCAAGTTTTTTTTTAACTTGACTAGATTTCGTACAGTTATCATGTAAGGTTCCACTGGCCTCATGGGAGTCAGTCATGTTAAAATGCAGACTATGCAGAACTGTACAAACTGAGGATTTTTTTTCTCACTTGACAGGGTAATAAACCTGTATCATTGTGTGATGTACTTTACCGAAGGTTGAATCGTAAACGCTAGTAGTGAATCGTCACAAATAAGGGTAAAGCTTATCCTTTTGTCACTTCTAATAATTTCATTTTCTTTCTATTTTTTTTTTCTTCATATTACAGGTGATGACATTCAAATTGATGAACGATACAAGTAAGTTGTTCTTCCCCCGGGGCAACTGGTACTCCACTTATGTATTTTTGGCCTTTTTATAGCCTTGCTGACTAACTTCGAATATTTTCAGGGGCAAGTTAAACCTGTGTAAGCCAGGATACACTACCCTAACCTGCGAGCAGAGGTTTTTTCCGTCATGGCTTTAGCATTTATAATGCCAACGACGCTGACGACTTCATACCGAAAAGAATCTTCTGTTCGCAGGGTAGGATGCATCTGAGTAGAAAAAAATGTTTAATATTGAATAATGCAAGTATATAGAGGGTCCTCAATAGGTTTTTCGGGATTCAGGATTTCCCTTACTTGAAGCTCGGGATTCGGGATTTAAAAGAAAAATCGGGACCTGATTCGGGATTGAAAGTGTGCTTGGGAGAGGGATGCCAAAAATAACCCTCGGGATTACGGAATTGCACGAAATTTTGGGTCGGGATTACGGGACTGAAGAACGCTATTGTGGACCCTCTATATAATCGTGACAAGCTTTATGAACAAATAAACAACAACAACAAACAGCCCACCTATTTTCCCTCGCTTGTGCCCTGAGTTAACAGTTTTACTTGTTTTATCTTAGTAGCGTGAATCATTATTGCCTGGGGTTTTTACAGAAAGAATTTTTTGAAACCACTGTTGTTTCGATATTTTTCAAAACCATTTTGAAATTTGGGCATTCAGTTGTCTGTATTAGCAAATGACAAAATGCCCTTGAAAACGAGTAAAATTGTATTTATTCATTTACTTATTTATTTACTGCAGTTGTGCCTAGCTCTATTCGCCCCTTAAGAAACGAGAAGGGGACTGGAGCCGAAATACGTCCCGCAAATGTGTCTGGGATCGTTATTAGCTACGCGCCGGTCAGCTATTGGCCAATTTTTTCCCGGTTCCTAGTAACATGTCACAAGAGTCCTTGCGAAAGTTGACTGGGCCCAGTTTCCTTCTGGTGTCTAAAGTGGCGAACGTTAACCACTGGGACGGACTTTTGACTTGGACGTTGGGATTTTGTGAAATGACTTTCGGGACAACAAATTTTTTGCGAAATTCCGTGAATTTTTATAACAAATTCGTGCTTGTAATTATCTAGCTTTCATGCAGTTTGCCGCTAATTTTAAGACCAAATTGACTAAAACGGGTTTTTCAGTACGTGGAAATGACTACCGGTATATGCTGTATCTTGTGCCTTGTGTTCATATTCCTCAATAAACAGTGCAACGAGTGAGAGAACGAAGAAGCCTGGAAGCGAGAACGCAGGATACGAAAATGATGCAAATTCATCCCCGATGGTGATATTCAGGTTTGTCATTTGTCAAGAAAATCCTTTTAATGAAAAAACAACTGACAGTCACAGCAGAAAAACGGGAAAATGAAAAGTGAGAACAAAACGTAGCTTGAACCATATAAGCCATATTAGTAACTTGATTTCTAATTCTCTGTTTTGTTTTCCCGTTCCCCGTGACTTGTTCCCCGTTTCCCATTCCGCGTTTTAGTAACGTTTGGAGCTGATCGTTCGCGGGAATTAAAAAATCGTTGCCGGTATTTTAAAGATACCACTAGCAGTATAACAGACAGGTGGTCTCGCTCACGGGTCCCCGCTGTGGCTCCCGTTCTAGACCGATTTTCTTCGATATTTGTGTGTTGCTTGGCAGCCGTTGGGCTGAAACCTATATGTGGTGACCGTAGTAGACTGTTCACAGTCCCCTATTTTCCCGTAAGATCGTCGAGATCGAGCGCTTTGCGTTACGGGCTGCCATCTTGCATGATGAATGTACGGTATATAAATGAATGTACAGTATATAGCTATCATGAAGGGTGCTTTGGGCATTATGAATTGGGCACTGGGAAACTATTGTTTGGTGTTCACTAAAGCAAATCATTGCAGTGAATTTCGTATACCCAAATGCCAAATTGCCAATGACCACTTGCCAAAGCAACCTTTATTGAATTAGGTCTATTCATCGCCGATGCTACAACTCTCTATTAACCCTTTAAGCCCCAGTATCCACATACAAATTCTCCAGACTGATCTCCTTACATTTCCTTTAAGAATGAGTTGAGAGAATTTGATAAGAGATCAAGGCATTTTTACTTGGGTGATCATTTTGATAATTCTCATAACTTATCTGTTGACAATCTATGGATATTGTTAGGAGAAAATTGACCTTGGTCACTATTGGGTCTTAAAGGGTTAATGAGGATTTATCCCTTTTTTCAGCACAGATAAATGGTGGGCCAACCACTGTCCCCCCGATGAGACACGTGATGAGCCTAAATTTTCCAGTGCTCTCAAGAAGTTCTCAAACTGAATATTAAAACATCTTAAATTTGATATCTCTGATTAAATGTTGTTACTATTTTTTCACTTTGCTCAAATATATTTCCTTCCGGAATGGTGAACTGAAAAGCCAATGGGTACTTTGTTGCTGGCGAGCCTCATGCGAGCCAGCACACTATTCTCTACAATAGCGACAGAAAAAGCCAAAATTTGTCGGATGTAAGATCAGAAGCATGCTCAGTCGATTGGTTTTCTTACTATCCGGGTTATTCACTCCTGCGCGATGACATCACGTAAAACGCACGTGGACGAGATCGAAGAAATAAAGTAAATTTCAAATGGGCAAGCAGATATCGATTTTTAACGAGGCGTGCGTTCAGTAGTTGCCTTTTCATGATTATTTAGATGTCTTTATTTGCTTGTGAAGTACTCATCAACGTCTCGATCAAGAGCATTTTAGTGATAGATCTCGAGGAAGAGAGAGGTTTGTATGTGTTGGGCTGCTCTATTTGATGATTCGCGAATACTGAAATGGAGGTGTGAGATATCGATCAAATCCTCCTTCATGGAGAGAGCTTTTTCTCTGTGCATTCAGCAGGAGTGATGAGCCAGGCAGAAATTCTTCTGTTCGGAGTGAACTGCGGACTCTAGCTTGCTGGTGTCGGTATGAAAGAGTGGAAAGGTGCGAAGCAAAGCAGCTTTGCGTCCAAAGCGACTCCGTTAGTACCACTTGCAATTAATCAAAGTATTCTTCGCTCGCTGAGGCGTTAAATTCTCTACCCGTTGAGGTGAATAATTCAGCTGGTAATTTGATCATGAGTCACATTGTCCTTTGAGGCGATGAAAAGCTCAGAACCAAATGGATATCAAAATGTGTATCGCTCTTTGAAGCTTACCCCGGGCTGACCATTCTGACCATTCAGCTGTAAAATTATTTGACTGTAGCGTTGGCAAGCGCCTGCTACGCAGGCTACCGTTGGGTCCAATTGTTTTTATACCTTTAAGTCAAAAGAAAACTTCTCGAGCACCACATTAAGCTTGTTAATATCCATGCGTCGATATCTTCACACCTCCATTCGTGATTCGGCAAAAACTGCAGTGACATAGTAGAGCAGTCAAACACTTAAAAGTATCTTGACTTCCTCGGGATTCATCCCTTAATCGTTCGTGACCTCCATGAAATTATTTCCTTAGGCAAATAAAAAAAATCTAAAAAATCTAGGCAAGCAATTACTAAAAACTCAGGCCACGTGTGTCATCTGCTTGCACAGGTAGCCCAAGCTCGAAATATGAGCATCGGCGAGCATCGGCATTGTTGCGTAACATTCAAAATATAAGGATTTCTAAGGGAAAAGAACCTATCATTTCTGTGACCTACGAAAATGACAGGATTTCAATGAAAAAAAACTTACCTTACTTAAAATGTGTGTTACGTCTCTCCTGTGTGGTCCACGGGCCGATTTATGGCCGTTTTATGGGTTTTTATGTAAACGGCTTTCTCTCTATATACACTCTTTTTTTATAAGAATATTGTTTTCCCGAGCCAGGCTGAATATTCTTATTTTTCCGCCGATTTTAGGCTGTAAATATTCTTGTATTATTCTTAATGACATTTCCGTTTTAGAATATATTAAGGTATCAATTATAGTTTTGTTAAATATAGTTAGCAAGTTTTGCCGTTTAAAGAAAGGAATAAATTGAAAAGGTATATTTGTATTGTATTTACAGATTTTCACCACACGAAATTATATCTTTTCAAAATCTCAGCCTTGAGTTTATTCTTAAAGTATTCTTAAGATTTCGCAAATTTCAGCCTCGATATTCTTATAAAATATATTCTTATAGAAAAAAAGAGTGTAAAGGTTTAGACTGATCCACTGAAGAAGGAAAACGGCCGTAAATTCGCTCCAACTGCTCCAATCGCCTTCAAATTTCGCCTAGGTAACACAACATAGTTCTCCTTTCCACTCGTTATCTTGCTTCAAGACGCCTTTGCACCGTGAGCGAATCAAAGGTCGCAAATCTCTGCAACCTTTCCCCGGAGGGGCGGGGGGTACTCCGCATGTGAAAGAGGTGGGGATGCTCGTCGGAAATTTTGAATTAAAGCCCTAAAGGAGACCGATCTGGGCGCAGCCCAAGCTTTTTTTACTCCTAAAAGAGACCATGTTAAAACACAGACAAATGAGAAAACTTGGACTATATGAATGGAGTAAATAAAACGCATTAAAAATATACACATCAAATATATATTTTCATATTTTTTCGCGTGCAACCCTAAACGAGACCTTCACGGCTAAATATGATGGCGTTTGTCCAGAACACCCTAAGTGAGACCAAAATCCGAAATTTACACCCCTAAGCGAGACGACGAGCATCCCCACCACTTTCATATGCGGAGTCCTCCCCCCGGAAACATTTCCCGTCTGAAGCCATCGACTGAACTTCGGCTTGAACTCCGTGTTACCGTTGAAAGATAGCGACACGGCCTGAGACTCAAATTACTCACACTCGGGGTGGGAGACAGTCTCTTGCTCCCGTTGAGAAAACTGACTTCGCGAAGTTTCAACCAGGTGTCATTTCAGTCTAGAATTTTTAAGTTGAGTGAACTGGAGCAACAGAGTGCCTGGTTAAGGCTTACATGACAACCTAAATGGTTATCAAAACACTACTTTTTTCGTGGTTCGATAAACAACAGGATTCCGCATGGAATAGACAACAAACTGAATGAAACGTAGTGCACAAATTATCACTCTCTTATCTTCAAAAATCGGCCTATGGTTCAATGCCATTAGAGCCCGCTGAAACTAGACCTAGATCCAATTTCGTGAGTGGAGAGTCGCTTTTCCAAGGTACAATCAGCTAAGCTAAACACCGACGAAATAATATTAATGGCTGGCACAGAATATTTTGGCCAAACCGCAGTTCAACCACGCGATCACATACCTGTCAACACCATGCGGAGTAGCGCCTTAGATTTGGGCGGAATGCAAAACAGTTAGTCAGTTAGTTAATACGTACGTTCGTTCGTTAGTAGGTTAGTTTGTTCAACCAACTGACCAACTGACTAACTAACGACTGAACTACCTAACCAAGTTGGTAAGTTAGTTCGTTAGTTAGTTAGTTACTTAGACAGACTTAGTTAGTTAGCTAATGAGCAAAATTGTAAACAATAGCGTCATCAAATCAAATCCTTTATTTTGACACGCAACACCCAGGACCACAAAAATTCTCGTTAAAACGTGTACGTGTGTACAAATTAGAAAATTAAAAATTAAAAAAAAAATTATGCTCGCAACCTATACATTACTACTGTAAAAATACTAACAATAAATAGATCTACAAAATGGCTAAAAGCAGAATCTAAAACTAAAGCTATTTACAAAATTTACAAGCACTACACCCTAAGCCATGTGAGCTTTAAGAGATTGCTTAGATGACGCAATGTCTTGTGATTCTCTAACTTTTGGAGGTAACGCATTCCAAAGTTTGCTGGCTAAAAATGTAAAGGATCGATGCTTAAACTCCAGATTAAAGGGAGGTAGATCTAGCCTTGTGCTAAGCCCGAGTAAGTTGTACGGTACATCCTTAAAATTAAAAAATTCACTGATATAAGGTGCCCCCTTGTCATACAAGCATCGGACGGTATAACATAACTAAAGATTGGAATTGCCTACGTCTCTCCAAGGACTTGATATCAGCCATCTTGAGGAGGAAGTCATATGACACAGACTGCGAACAACCTAATATAGTTCTTAACATAAAATAATTAGTTGTCTCTATTTTTTTAGTCTCCGCATTGCCTACTCCCAGTAAAAGGGGACTACAGTACTCTAGGTGAGGGAGAACATAAGCCTTGTAGAGACGAACTAATACGTCCTTAGAAATGAACTTACGTATTTTCCGCAGAGCCGAAGCCTTTGCGCAGGCCTTATTCAGCTGTTCATGTGTATGTTTCGCCTATAATCGGGTCACTATGGAGGTCAAAGGAGTAGTTGCTTGTCTTGCACCATTGCAAGAAGTGCTGACTGCAGGTGAAAGCTTCGGTGAACTCGCTGTAATATGCTGATCTCCACTTTCCGTACAGGGCTTTAACTGAGAACCCCCACACGTTGCGGCAGCCCAGAAACTGGTGTGATTTATCCTCGGAGTAGGAAATAGACTCAAACCCCGACTTGTAGCCTCGATATGTCTCGTTCGTTTTCTCGACAATTTCTCCAACGCTTCTTTGAATACAGGCATCCTAAAGCTGTACACGAATGGGTTAACCAAAGAATTGGCAAGAACTAAAACATCGACCGTCCACTTCATGTATGGGTGAAGTCTACAGTGGCAGATGTACAAACCTATGTAAACAGCAAACACTGGCAGCCAAAACAGAAGCGACAAAGCGATCACCACGAAGAGAGTCCTTGAAAGTCGCACGTTGTGCTGAGTGGTTTGACGGCTGTTGACAACGGCTACTTCGGGTGCAGTGCTACTCAATCGTGCTCGTATTTTGAGGTAGCTCGCACAAATCACCAGAATAGAGATGAAAAGGCAAATATGTACAGCAAGATGAAGAGTCTTCATCTCCATCTTTTGGTCGATATAATAGATAAGAACCAGCAGACCAAATATGAAAATTCCTACAGCCCATACGACGACAATACTGTAGATGTAAACGCGAGTGCTAGCAACACGATGACGCAACGGTTTTAACACAGCAAAAGCGCGCTCGAGCGAAATGAGGGCGAGAAAAAACACTGATGCACTTAACGCAAAAAGTTGCATTGCTTCTGGTAGTTCTGTTTCACTTTTTTCCTTCAGGGACTTTCTTTCGTTCATTCCCTTCAGTTTTGACTGTTTTGACGTTGTCGCCGTCATTTCATGGAACTTGCTCGTCCCGAGAACTATGGGCTCTGTAATACCCACAAATAGGTCAGCAACGGCCAGATTTATCAAGAGATAACAAGTTCTTTTTATGTGCGATGTCCGAGTCAAAGTTGAGAACACAAAGATGGTGAACGCGTTTCCAAAGATTATCAATGCAGCCTCCACTGCATAGACAACAACGAAGATAATCGCCACATCGTTTGCCAACATTTTCCTTACTCCATCTCATCAGTATCGGCGACAAATTGCGATATCACACCACTGCAACGTTTTAGTTCAAGTCAATTAAAGTATTTGTAACGCCCAGCTGGTAACACCCAACTGCGTTTTTTCTTTTCCTTATCTTTTTTTTTGTGTTCTTTCAACAATGATGCTGGTGATATTGATATGCAACTTGGCGGTGTTGTATACATGTACTGTATATTTAAATTGCCTTCAACGGTTGTTTGACCATATGAATAATATCTTGCTCACTCACCAACAGCCTTCTTAATGTTCGCTGTAGCACTTCATTTAGTGTGATCTGTCTTCAATCTTATGGATACAAAGAAACAGTTTTAAGTTCAACTGTCAACGGAGCAGTAAGAATGAAGTTAAAGAGAAAATGTTAGGTGCCTCTTATAGTAATATCATTTCCTCACATTTCCGATTTAAATTGTGTGATAAATCATGCCAAGGCGAAAATTTGATAGATTAGGTTTGAGTTTACTCTATTGTTCCTTTTTTCCACCAATGAAAATAAAAAGAAAGAATAAAAAGTTTTGAATATTACTTTTATCAAGATGTTTTTTTGACACGTGTAAAAAAAATCGGTAATAATATTGACCTTCAAAACATCCTAAACCGTTTCCTTAAAATTATGCTTTTGACTTTCAATTTTTTTAAAGTAACGAGATAAAGAAAATCATGTCGTTGGGTGACGACATGTCACAAGAACGAAAAATACAAAGGGGAGTCTAAGACATGCCCTATCACCGATGCGTCATTTCCGATTGTCTGTCAGAATCATAATCAGTACCATTTTCAATTATCAACGCGCGTCAGAAATGCTGATTGGAAATGAAACATCATAATTTTTAGCGAAAAGTTCTAGAAAGGACCACTGTGGACAAACTGTAGGGAGGGAAAGCCGGATCTTAAAGTAGATCAGGCGGATCAGCAATGTAATAGAATAACACCCAGTTGATGGGTTATTTATTTTCCCAATATTTCGGTTAGGCAAAACTAATTTTGGGCAAATAAGTCACTCTTTCGTGGCTGTCCTATCAGCCTTGCCTTCAATTTTGGGTATCATAATTTTTCACGACAGGCAAAAAAAGGCCGCAATGATTAGAACGATCGAAACAACGTTTTTGGAATAACTAATACCGCTAGGGCGAGACAGTTAAGGACGTCTAAACCGCTCTGGTGGCGCGTTTGTAGTATCTTATAACTAGTATTTGTTTGAAGCGCTGAGATATTCTAGAAGATTTCTTGTCTTTATTAGGGTACACACCTTCCTTCCATAGCCCTTCGGAGGGTCCTGTTCACAAGCCAATCGGGCATGAAAATACCGTAAAATTCCGAAAATACGCCCCTCCGTGTATAAGCCCCCTAAACTCGTAACGCAAAAAAACCCTCCGTTAAATCGCCCCTCCAAATATAAGCCCTTCGGGGGCTTGTACTTGGAAATTGCCCTCAAATACAAAGTAAAACAAAACAAAAACGGTAAATTTACCTCCAACTATAAGGCTAGCCCGATCGATTTTGAAACGCAAATTTCCCTGCGTAGATAAGCCCCTTGGAATATAAGCCCCTCCAAAATTATTAAACACCAGCTAGATTCGTTCACGCAACCGGGCCTCACTGATATTTTAATATACAGACTTTTTGTGTATATAATTCCTCTATTATATTGTCGACGATGAAAAACTCCATTTCCGTTTGGTTTGACATGCAGTAACTTTGCTGCACTTGCAAAGAAAACAGCAGAGTTGATAACTTCGTTTTTAAAGATTTACTTATTCATGACGATGCTGAGCTGATCATTACAGTTGCTGGTGAGGTGAGTGTCTTGCACAAAAATTCACATTTGGTTGTAAAAGAGCTGTGACACCAAATTAAGATTTCCACAATGAGGTCCCTAATGGTTTAGTCCCAGTCACAACTAATTAACTTTCTCACTTACCGACACTCTATATTTAATACCAAGCACGAGCTCTTTAAAATTTTAGGTAGCTTCAATAGACATGAACGACATCGGGGTTGCCAAATGAAGTGTGATTCTGGCATTCAACAAACATATACTAATTTGAATGAGCTCAATTGTGCATCTTTAAAGAAATTATTCCATCAGCAAGCTACAATCGATGACACTCAACTTTTATCACACTCTTCTGACACCTGTCTTTGTCTCTTCCAAATGTTTTTTTGAAAAGGTTTTTTGATGGACTTGTCCACGTTCGAGGCCAACATTGAGGAGAAAGGGGAGAGGAGGTCGAGTACAACATTTCAGATTGTAGTTTTAAAATCGCGTATCTTGCATAATGTTATAGTAGTTATCCTTGGTTTTTAAAATTTTCCTTTGTTTATTTTGAATATGGTAATGACATGAGTTCAAACAAACAGGAAAATAAAGTTAAACCAAGGGTAAAATTAAGCCAAAACATAATATATCTTCAGTTTTTTACTTTTTCTGGGAAGATGCCGAGTTTTTTTTTCTTTCTTTTTGTTTCCAAAAGGATGCTAATTAACACCTCGTTATTAAAAATTTCTCTTTTCAAATGACTTCCAACGATGGAACGGGGGGACTTAAACGCACTTAAAATAGTTCATAAGACACTCTATACGACGACTTGGAGGTCAGTTGGGCGGTCATACTTGAGAATCAATCGAGTAACTAGTGAGCATGTGTTGTTATCAGGGGCACCCAACGAGAATATAGTTCAAAACCACTTAAACATAGCAGTGTTGAACGTATTTTAGTATTTAAACGGTAGAAATTTTTCATCCGTTCGGATTTCCTAGCTGAAAGTCTAGTGATCCGAAAATTATAGGGATCAAAACTTACCTTTTCGAAAATTTCAGCCAGAAAAAAGGCTCCCGAAAATTCTAGGTGACCTTTTTAGGGTAAAAATCCGTTAAAAATGGGCAATTATACCATTTGTCAGATGCTCGAAAATCCTAGGAGAGGCAGGCAAGCAAGAAATTTTACAACAAATGTTCCAAAAATTCTAGATTTCAAATCGTCTTCCGAACAGATATTTTCCGAAAATTGACGTTGGTTGCCTCTGTGTTATCTTTGAGGGGAGCAGGCGCACAAGCTAGTAACTAGTCTGCGTTCATTGTTCCAGTTCTACCACAAGGCCCACGATCCCCGCCACACTTGAAAAAGGTACCTTTCAGGACTATGCTGCAAAGATTTTTAATAGCCTCCCTCGCTGATCACCTAAGAATCTAATGACTTTAGACATTTTTCCCACGAAAGTAAATTCATTCTTCAAGCTAAATGCACTTGAGATTTCTAAATTACTTTTTATCTATGTAAATATTTTACAGCTGGTGATACCTATATTTTTTGTTGTAATTTTCCTTTTTAAAATTAACACAGTAAAAATCACGGATAAAAACGACGTTTTGACCGATCTTCGGTCATTTTCAAGTAAGTTCAAAGAATTAGCAAATATATTTTTAAAGTGTAAAAATATTGTTAGGGGGAAAATGTAGATTTCATTGGGTTTTCAATTCATTTCATGGCACTTGGACTACAAAATTATAAAATAGGATTTCAACCGTTTTGAATAAGTTTTCCTGATTTGTGGCCCGTTCGTATTTATATGCGTGATGGTTATGTTTTTGATTCGCGTTTTTCAGAATGAAAGATTCAACCGATTTCTATGATTTTTGAGATACTAAATAAATAATAATGGAACTTTAAGAAAATGTTATTTATTTTTTTGTAGGTATAAAAACTTTTGAGATATCGGCATATATTTAAAACCGCATTTTTACGAAAAATGTAAATAACTTCGAAATCCCACGACAGATTTTTCCATAACTTTGGCAAATAAGCCTCACTCTCTCTAGTTTTACATCTGCAAGTTTGAAGGTAATCGTGACCGTAGAACTCGCTGCACAAAATGCGGATCAAATTTAACGTTAAAGTGCTACGCTAACACATTTGTGAAAGTTGAAGCACGAATAGAGGAAGACTGCTGACAGACTATCTCCTATCTGAAAGGATATTCCTACCTAAAGCTTTATTGCAAGAAACAGAGTAATCAGAAACCTACGGCGAACATAGTTAGCACTACAAGAAGAACAACTTTATGCTGAGTGCGCGGTAATATTAAAGAACTTATATTGATCAAACTTACGTTGTATTTGTCCCCTCTCTTTTGGAAACAAATCTTAACAAAGCAAAATATAGCATCTACGAAAAACTCTCAAGAGTTTTTAGCGTCGCAGGTTCCCGTTCTGAAGAGAAATAAGGCCACCAACGCCAGTACTTCTAACCATCCATTTTTCAGCTGCAATGAAAACCCTTGTATTTGGTAATTTATTCATGTTTTTAAACTTGCCATCACATTCGCACGGGAAGTTTACCACTTGGCAATAAAGATGAAGACAAATATGACAATCGTCTTATTCTTCTCATTATCCCCAACAGCAAACTGCCCGTGCGAATGTAATGGTAAGTCTTAAAAGCGTGAGTAAATTACCAAATATGAAGTTGGATCTGGATCTTTCGCCTGTTCAAATACCAACCGTTCGTAGTTTTTAGTTTTGACATTTTAGGGAATCCTGGGCAAAGGAAACTCCAATTCTTTTACACAGCTTTCTTTGTAGTTTTCCTAAATTCACTTGCTTGACTGACATCTAATTTTGAGTTATTTAGTTTAACATATGAACTTTAAAACTGAATTTATCCAGATTTGTTTTCGCTGTTCAGCTGACTTTATTCAGCCTTCTTTCCATTTGTTTTGTGATGTTGTAATAAGTTGATGGGTTAGTACCGTATTTATTCTATTAACCGCCCTGGGCGCTTATTAAATTTTTGGACTTTGAGAGTGGGCGCTTATTCGAGGTGGGCGCTTATATTCAAGGCTGGACGCTTATTAAATTTTCAACATTTTCAACAAGTGTAGTACGTTTATTTTTTAACAAAACAATAAATGATAATAACAAAACGCGAAGATGTAGCAAAGCAAGGTTTCTGTAAAATATTCTGA